ACAGTCACGATTCCAATGTCAATTTCACCACCAGTTGAAACATTTGTCCTGGTCGTCATGGACACGATCGTTCTCGAATGTCCGTTGCCACTCTTTCTCCGTCCTCTACCTCCACGACCTCCACGACGGAATGTTGCCCGTCATTTGGATAATGTGAGATATGGCCTGATGCTTGTGCCGTCATATGCGCGCCAGTTTTTACTGCGTTCTCCTCAGTGTTCTTTATTTCAGCCTGCTTTGGTGTCTGAGGATTTTCCAGGATTGTAAAGTCTTTCCTCTCTGTGTCATGCCATTGTCATTGCGTCCAGTGAACTTTACTTCGTTTCTTGCGTGGACAGAGTGGATGAAGCCCGCAGCGCTTGGTCAGGTGCGGCCTCCTCTGTGGACTTGATCCTGCCAGGAGGGGAGGGGAGGGGGGCAGATTGCGGAGGCTCCTGTGCGGTGGAAGAAGCAGCCCAGGGAGGGGTGATGCAGACGGCCTCTGGGCGGTGAGAGGAGCCAGCGGAAGGGAGGGCAGCTGCCGCTGCTGCTGCCTGCTGTGCTGGTGCTGCAGGTGCCGCTGCAGCTGCTTGATACCGGCGGGCGGTGACGAGAGCGGAGTACAGCGGGGGTACAATCATTACGGTTCGTATTGACGTGGGATCGGTGGATGGCTCGAAAAAATAAAAGAGATGGGAGAGTATCGTCGCTGATCTATACATTCTTCTGTCTTTCCCTAAGCTTTGCCTCTGTCATCCACGCATTCAGCCACGTCTGTTCTCATCCAGACAATTAAAATCTTTCACACGTACAGACTGCCTTTTTTTTAACACAGTTTCTCGAGCATCCCATTGCGATTTAATCTTTTCCAAATTGGTTCAAGATGAAGGAGCCATTTTTGGGAAAAACCTATTCAGCCACCCACCATTTCAGTGCATGCCCTAAAAATCATACCATGTTTCTTACTCATAAAAGTCATGCATGGGGGGTCCCAAACTGGACTCTGGCCTTTTCTTCTAGCCATCATGGCTGGAATTGACGACTTCAAACTCAGATCTAGTATCAACTGAGGAATCGAACCCCAGACTAAAAGTACTAACTTCGATTTTTGACAGGCACTCGAACCTGTTTTCACAAACGAGAGGCTCGACCCCCCCGACTAAGACTTAAACTTAGCTTTTTTTAGACAGGACTCTACGTGTCACAACAAGGGACTTGAAACCCCCGACATAAGACTTGAACTTAGATTTTTTAGAAGACTATAACGGTCTTCACAACGCACGAGGACTTAACCTGACCTACAGAGTAACTTGTAGACATTTAGACCGGACTCTAACGTCTTCACAACGAAGGTACTTAACCTTCCCGACTAAGAATATACTTAGATTTAGTGACAGGACTCCAACTCGTTTTACAACGGAGGACTCTACCTCCCGACTAAGATTAAACTTAGATTTTCTCCCCAAAAAAAAAAAAACGCATGGATTAAGAATGAGCAGCACCGTAACCAGGCTTTGGCATACCAACATGCACTGCACCCACAAGTGCCTATCGGATTCACCACTGAAGCATAGAAAGTCTAATTTAAACAAGTTACCGTTTGTTTCGTGTGAAAATCCCTAAGAGGCGACGTTGAAATCAGCACGTCCTCGGTCAGTCCGCCGTCAGAGATATGGGAAATCCGACGAGATTGGTTTTGAATCCCGGGCGATCAGTCCCCCGTTCGGAACCCTGCGTTTCAACGGTCCAAGCCTTCGAGACCACGTTCTGGACACCAAATTGTTATGGAATTCTATAGCCTCAAATGACATGAAAACCGAGAGGAAACAAACTTGTCCTTTGGTTGCAGTTTTATTCACAGAAGTGATGAGTACAAAATGACATTTCTGCGCACAGAAAGGAGTCAAACAGAAGCGGCACCTGGACGCATGCCGTTTGGTCTGTCTGTCCCCCCCCCCAACCAAAATGTCTTATGATTTATACTGGAGGTGTGTCATGACAGAACAAAGGACATTCGTCTACCAAGAGAGGATGAGTCATACGCAGCTGCAGAGGGGAAAGTTTGGGAGAGAGACATTAAGCGCAGAAAAGGACCTTCGAAGTTTGATACAAGGAACACGCTGTAAGGAACATTTGAGATAGGCCCATGCAGGTGGGGGCGAAGGTGTATGGAGAAGAGGACCGGCGGACAAGACAGCCTTTTGTTAATGTTTCAAACAGTGATGAGAAGCAGTTTCAGACGCTGGGAAAGAAGACGCATGTATCGACCTAAATGATTAGATATCCTTGTGCCGGGAATCTGCCAAGACAGGTGTAACTGCTTGGCAGCTGAAGGATTCTCGCGTACTGCAGAACTAACTTCCACGTGGGCTACACGGACATTTTCCCCATAGAACTCAAAAGTAAACTAAAACAGCTGACAGAGACCGTCCGACAGAGAATCCTACGCTTTCTTAACATGGTCGGAATTTGTGGGGAATTTTAGTGTTCCTTGTTCATCCTCGAAATTTTCCTTCTTAAATCCTTTTCGGTTTTCTCTACTACCACTATAGTGGTTTACAAAACTTCTGGCAGGGTTTTGCGCGTTGTATAACCAGCTACATCGAGCTCCATCTGCTGGTGTACCTGCTGGAACAACCACACTTACACCTACGAAACTTTTTGACACCATCGCTTGGCGTTAGAAGTGTGTCAAAAGAGAATTTGTGTGTAAAACGTAGGCTGTGCGTCAGCTCTTACGCTTTTTTTTGTTCTTCTCTTCGTACAAGGTTGGTTATTTACACACAGATTGTTCTGTTTACAGATATAAAAGTTCCAATACACACGCATAAATCTGGGGGTACAGATGCATCACCGTCCAAGCTACACTTGCGAATGCTGCGAAGGCAGGACTGTGTCAAAAGATTGTGTGTAACAACCTTACATTTTTTTTCTTTACACAACACAAACTCTTTTCTACGCCAACTCATATCTTTTCCTATCGCACACACATATCTTGATACGTACCTACCAAATCTATTTACACACACACACCAAATATTTCTTTTACACACATATGCAAAATCTGGTTTACGCACACAAATATTATTGAAACATAATAGCTCCATTATCCTGCCTCTGACTCCAATTCAATTCATTTCTTTCCGAGTATCGCCCTTAAATCTACAACAGTAGTTATCTCAAACGAAACTTTACCAAAGCTGTTGAATCACTCAATCACAGCATTCTGAGAATAGAAACACGTTCAAACACAGGAATGTTATGATGGTACGGTGGCAGAGTGGTTAACACTCAATTCTCAGCAGGAAGGTCCTGGGTTCCAATCACTGGTCTGCAAAAGGGGGTCCAAACGGCTGGCGCTTGCATGTTATCACCGTTCTGTCCGGGTGCTGCTGGTTCCCCTACGGCCCCTTCACTTGAAACATACACATTAGGTCCAGAACGGGATGGTGTAGGTTGTGGGCTCCTGATGGTCCAGTTTTCTTTTTTTTGCGCTCGGCGTCTCGATTACATTCTCATTGTGTGGATCGAATGAAACTTATCTGAACTCTGAAACATTGAAAAGCGCTTTGGGTGATCTCGGTCTGTTAAAATTGTGCTATATGAATAATGATGAAGCTTACTACTTATACACCCTTACGAGGGTCCCATAAAGGGCCAGACGACCTCTCCATAACTGACCCATAACTGTCCCATAAACTGTCCCAATAAACCTGTCCCATTAACTGTCCTGGTCATCTCCCGGTCCTTTGGACACTCCTGCATCAGAGAGGAACAACTCTTAATAAAAACAAGTAGGAAAAAGTGAGCAGAAACCTCTGAGAGGCCCATCCAGGACTCAGGCTGATTTAGAACGCGGATTGTTGTTCGGACTGATTCCGCGTGTTGGAGCTTGACGCTAAACGCTCCTTAGGAAACCAGCAGACTTTGGTGAAGCGCAGAGTTCGGTTTGGTTGTTATGACACCCAACTTGGAGGTAAGAGGTGTCATGCCATTTATGGCTTTGTGTGTTAATAGACGGATTTTGGATGTAGCTGGACTCTTTTTATGGAGGATTGAGGTCATGATACAGCAGAGGGCGCTACAGTAGTCTGGGCTTCATGGTGACAAATGCTGTCTGGATTCGTTTTTTTTACATCACTTATAGAATTGTTCCTGATATGAGGGATGTTGCGCAGGTCGAAACCATTGCGGTTTGTGGTTCATATGTGACTTGAAGGAGAGTCTCGATCACATTACGGCCCCACAGATTCTTTCACACGTGTTGCGAAGTTGCTACGCTAACAGATCCCGTGTTATGTTACGATGCTGTTTGTGAAGTGTGCCGGCTTATGTCGGGCGGGGGATTCTGTGGGTCCTCTGGGTGAGCAAACAAAATGTCCGATGGATCCAGGCTGGACGTGTGTGAGCTTCGGAATCGGGTTGCGCTCGGCCTGATTTACCTGGGGTCTATGCCAGGAGTGTCCCGTATGAGGCCTGGATAAACAATCCATCACAGCCAACCAGCCGGCTTCATCGCCTTCACTCCTCTGGCACCGACAGCGATCAGAGCGTCACTGCCCTTCTCCTTCCACTCAACCTTAACCACCACTACTTTACACACCCAACACATCGACATTGCTGCAGGTAAAGTCCGCCCATGCCCCGACAGTGCAGTTTTCACCTCACCATTTCCGCTATAGATAAGATGCTAACCTAAACACTGGCCAAAAAGGTACCGCTGAGCAGCAGTTGTTCCTATACTTTTGGACTCACCAAAACTGTGGGCGCGGTCGTGAAGATAAAAATCTGGTTAGACTTTACCTGCATTCACTTGACTGAAATCTAATACTCTCCAACTGCAACCTGCACACTCTGCAGTTCAAGCACAGCTTATTTGTGTCATTTCAAATCTCTTGTGGTGCTGTAGAGACCCATCCCAATATGTATATACCTGTCAGTATGTGTGATTTGTGCCCTTAGTTTTTGTGTGGCGATGGCACCCAAAAAACAGCCGGATTGTCTGAGGCCAGGCTGACCTGATGGAGGCCTGGCCCTGGGCAGGGTCAGTATCCACAGAGGATGGAGGTCACTCCAGTGGAGGCTCCCTCAATCAAACAACATGTGGGGTGCTGAGCGGCCGGCGCACTGCCATGCGGTGAGGAGCCTTTTGCAACACAGACACCTAAAAACTGATTTGTACAGGTACTAAATCTCACCCTTCCTGTTTCCTGTCTGCAGTGGTGATGCCAGTGAAATACTCTGTGTTCATCGGGCGTTACATAAGCAGAGGGCCCCAACCCAACGAAGTGAGATCGCACCAATCACTCAGTTCATCAACCACCCGGGATACAACGAGGCCACCCCAAAGATAACGACATGTCCACCTCTCAAAGCTGTCTCCCCTCCGTTCACCTTCACAGACTACATAAAGCCTGTGTGCCTGGCGGCCCTCCGGCCAGTGACCCTCCCAGTGGCACAGACACCTGTATCACAGGCTGGCGGGGGACATCATTCTGGAGCGTGAGACGTCGGTTAATTTGTGAAAAGAAATAATTATTCCAAATCTGTCTGAGCATCAAAGCCTTGGCGATGCTGGATTCATCTTGCTAGATCGACAGAAGCAACAGGTGGGTTTCTCCCGAGAGACACACCATAGATAATAGAAGGACAATGCTAACCCGGCTCTGGGGAGCTAGCGACCAATCACCATATTGGGCTTCTGTGGTTTAGTGGGTCTCTGTAACCATGAGTGTATACATTATGATGTAGCCTTTGTAAATCTAGATAAGAGCTTCTGGATATAAGGACTGACCCAAACTCCATACTTACTTGGCATCCATGTACATTGTCCTCATCACTGTGCTCCTTCTGGAGCGGATGGCAGCAGCTCTCTGTTTCTTTTAGTCTATTTTGTATAGATTTATTTTTAGTGATGCTTGATGTTTGGCTCCACGTTCCTCTGCCGCCGCCACAGAACCTGATGGAGGGTGGAAGTGCCCATTCATCGGGAACAGACAGTGCTTTTCGTAAACTACAAACTCAAACATCCGTATCACAGACAATATGCTGTGTGCGGGACCTGAGCGAGGGAAGCAAGGACTCCTGCCAGGTAACCCGCTGTTCCCACCACTGCTATTATGTATTCACATAATATTTGTGTGTGGTGTTAAAAACAGATTCTGTGTGTGGTAAACAGTTTGTGTCGTGAGTAAAAACAGAATTTGTGCGTGGCGTAACAGATTTGTGTGTACGTTACAATATTTGTGCGTGCGTACCAGCTTTGTGTGTGTGTGTAAAAGACATATTTGTGCGTGTGTAAATAGATTTGTATATACCAGTGGGGGGGGGTCCCAGCTCAATAGTTGCCCAAAATGACGTGCCGACTTGACATTGCTGCAGACCACCCCGGGCGATGGGGGTGGACCCAGAGTAGAAGTAGCCAATGCTAACATATGAGCATTGGCAGACCCTCTCATAACGTCTTTACAGGATGGACCAAAAGTTGGCTCTTGGCCCAAAGCTCCGTTCACCTGTGTGTAATGCTGAGGGGGCGTGGACTTTTGTTTGGTCCACTCTAGTTTTATCGGATGTGCATTTTTGAAGTCTCTTGCTTAATAAGAATGGAGGCTTGCCGGCTGACGCATGCGCAGATGCGTTTTTTCCCCAACTTTTTTTTGTGGGCGGGACCCTTGCGGCCATTTTTGGATAGCTCCAGCTAGAGCCCATTTTTTGGCCCATTAGTTAGAACGGCGGAGATAGGCATGGGACTCTGTCCATTACTATATACAGTCTTGGATATACGTGATTCCACAAGATTTGTGTGTGCGTAGAAAGATTTGTGTGTGTAAAAGAAAAAAAAAGTATGTTTTCACACAAATCTTTGACGCTAGTCCTGCCTTCGCAGATTCGCAAGTGTAACTTGGACTGTGTGCGTCGTTACCCGATTGGTGATGGCGTGTAATTTGACCATTTGCTTCTGTAAGCAGAACAATCTGAGTGGTAAATAACCACCTTGTACGAAGAGAAGAACGGAAAAAGCCTAGAGCTACGCACAGGCTCATGTTTTACACACAAATCTCTTTTTGGACACACTTCTGCCGGCCAAGCGTGTGTCAAAAAGATTTGTGGGTGTAATGTGGTGTTCTAGAGGAGAAGTACACCAGCAGGTATGGTGCTGTTGTAGTGGTTTATTACCTACAGGCAAGCAACACCATAAAACTACTGCCTTGACAAGACACACTACCGCAAACTGTTTTTGATATTTTTTTCCTATATTCAAAATCGGTTCATTCACACCTCTGTATTATACATGGATCTATTATAATAAACTGGATTAGGGTGTGTTATGAATTTCTATTGCTCAAATGATGAAACGAGAGGAAACAAACTTTGTCCCTTTGGTGCAGGTTTTATTCACAGAAGTTGATGAGTACAAATGACATTTTCTGCGCAGAAAGAAAGGAGTCAAACAAGAAGCGGCACGGAGCCATGCGTGTCTGTCATGTTCCCCCCAATAAAACATGTCTTATGATCTTTCATACTGTGGAGGTGTGGCAGAACAGAAACAATGGACATTCGTCACTAGAGAGAAGAGTTCTTACGCTGCTGCAGACGGGAAAGGTTGGAGATATACATCTAAGCGTCAGAAAGGACCTTCGAATTTGATACAAAGGGAACACGCTTGTAAGAACAATATTGAGTTAGGGCCCATGCCAGGGTGGTGGCGAAGGTTTATGGGGACAAGAGGACCATGGACAAGCAGCCTTTGTGTTTATTGTTTCAAACAGTGAGAGAGAAGTTTCAGCGCTGGGAAAGAGACGCATGTTCGTGCTATATGATTTAGAATATTTGTGCCGGGAAATCTGGGCAGACAATCCACCCTGTGATTATCCTTAAATCAATCACAACATACTATTAAGTATCTAAAAAATTATCAGTACTAAAACTATAAGTAAAATATAAGTAAAACTATAAGTAAATAACATATATCAAGTAAAATCATAAGTAAAATTAAGCAACCCCGGAACATCAAAACTTTCACACCTAGTAGGTTTGAGAAAAAATCCGACTAATATGGGTTAGACATACAAACCAATTTACTCAAATCATCAAGTAACATCTCCACTAAATGGAAACTGTCCTCATCAAGACAGTCAACATGCAGGTTAAGTGAAGTGTGTTGAAGAGTTTCGACTAGAGATCATACGTCGGATCAATGAACGGATCAAAGGAATGGACCCAACATGACAGCACTTATTAGCCAGGTACTAATATTTACTCCAAGTTCAAGTACCTATTTGAACCAACCACGGATCGCCAGTCTGGAAAACCATGAAGCATCTAGAACAAAATCACGGTTAACCGCATCGTGCAGGTGTTAGATTTCGAATACCCTGAGCATATGATCCCTCGATCATCGGCATGTTATCAGGAATATAATGTACAACAAGCGGTTTATGAGTAAGGTAAACACAAACACCTCAACTTGATGGCAAACCAAATGCTCCAACAACCAATCCTGTTTTGTAAAGCAACGGCACGGCAACGCATTTCCGTCTACTCTGTTGTGCCGTCTGTTATAGTTACAGTTGCAAATTCCACAAAACTTGAAAACCGATTAATTCAACGGTTTCCATTCTAAGCATAAGTTCCCTCCTAGACCCGACCTGGGGGAAAAGCCGAGAGAAGTACTTTTGTTGGCTTGGTCCACAGTTTGTGATCATCTGGAACGTCGTCCCCCAAACTGCATATGAGCAGGCAAAATCGCCGCTTACCTAGCGATCAGGAAGGGTAGAGAGGATGTAAGAGTGATTGAAGCTATCATCAGAGCACAACGGCCCTATCCCAATAAATGGTCAGCCTTCACATAGACATTTGAAGCCACACAGCCCACAAAACACCCTTCAGAGGTTAGTTCCTGTTGAGTCAGGCACCGTGAAGTATGGAGCAACATGTACTACCGGAGCCGGCCTGAGAAGTGTTGAAAACTTGAATTACCCATGAAAAGAAGTACACGGTTGTTAGACAATTTAAACAAAATGACATAGGGATCCGTCCCCTCTGTATAGGGAGAATCAGTAATGGTCATGGATAGAGTGTAACTTACAAATTTTGTTACCGGTCTGATAATGTTACCGGGCACAAAAAATTGGGATTAATTCATCATTAAACCAATAATTGAAGAAATCAAACTAACATGCCGGTTTGAGTGGGGGGGGAGAATTTACCGGTACCGCCTTCTGTGACGGTCTCTTTGAAATAACCCATAGAGACAGCATGAATTCAGAATCTTGGAAAAATGTGTAAATGCCATCGACCATTGGTAGAAGGTGTGATGTGTGGGTTTGATGGACGCAATAGGCATCTGGCGGTACAAATGTAACAAATTGAGCGATTTTGTGACTCTGCTAAGAATTTTGCATCATTGATACCACAAATTAAGTGTGTACACGCTGTTGTGAGTCATTGACGCAGCCAAAACACGTGACACGCAAAATCCCTTTTGGCCCAACATCTATCCATCTTCACACGTTTTGATGTAAAAGAAGAGGTGTTAGAAGTGTAATGGACAACGACCTGTGTTTGATTGTTCTTTTTATTTCTCCCCGACCTTCAAAACCATAAACAGGTGGTTACACAATGAGGAAGGAATCGCATGAACATGAGGCACCACACAAGTCTGTCTCCATCCCGCAAAGGCCCTGCTGCCTGATGGATGCCAGGGACCGTGCTCCCGGCCGTAGTGCATCCTGGACTTGGATTGTCATTGATTGATCTTCTTGTGTTACTCTATCTTCTGATCATCTATGGATAGGAGTGTAGGTTACAGCACTTTTTCCTGATGAGTTAACAATGTCTTTCTAACAATGTTTTACGTTGGGAGGGGGGGGTAGTGTGTGTGTGACCTCATTTCGCGTTGGCGAAGGGAGGGGGGTTATAGAATCCCTCCTTATGCTTCCGTTGTACGCTCCGCAGAAGAGCTTGGGACTTGTTTGCAGTGCGATGCGTAGGACCCAGGTCTGCCTATCGGACCTTCACAGCGGTTGTGAAGTGCCGGAGGAGATACTTGGAATGGGCCCAAGCCAGCGATGGTGATTTCCAGCTCTTTGGATTGAAGTTCCTTATCAGGACGAAGTCGCCGGGTTTGGAATGTTGTGAAGTGGATGGTCCGCAGTTGGGGAAGGGCCGATGACACCTGTCTTCTGATATCAGAAGGAGACTTTGTGTTTTCGTCTAGGTTTTAATAACTACATTTCATGCCATCCTCGCACAGGATGGCATCTGGTTGAGGTCCCGAAGGTCCCATTCCTACGTTGGGGGGAGAGCTGCCAAACAAAATCTCAAATGGTGACAGGTTGTTCCGGGGGTTGCGCACTCTCATTCGCCTGTAATCAGGACTATTGGCGCAGCATTTTGGCCAGCAAAGGTTTTGTTTCTGACAGCATTGGCCCAGTTTTGATTTTATAGTGTCAGATTTTCTCTTCTCAACCAGCTCCACCAGACTGTGGGTGATGCCGCAGTGAGTTTTCAAACATAAAATTTACAAATCAATCAGACAGTTGTTTTTTCACTTCATACCCAAATGCGACCCTTATCTCAGCGACAACTTCTGAGGAATTCCCCTTTTACAAGGACTTTCCCACGTCAAAATGGTATTGCTACTGTAGCGGCGGACGCCATGATTTGCAGGGCAAGCTTCCCCCCACTTTGACCACACAACACCCCCCCTTCCCACTCCACCCAAATAATTCCCCTACCCCCATTTTTATACAAAACCCATACTTCCCACCACCCCCCCCACCCCCCCCCCCCCCCCCAACCCCCCCCACATCCAACCCCCCCCAAACAAATACTCACTACATCAAACCAAAACCCCTCTCATACCCCACCCCCCTTTAACAACAAATCCCCCCCCCACACCCTCCAACCCACCCCCCCAATCCCACCCCCCCCCAAACATCCCCCCAAAATACCCCCCCCCCCCCCCCCAAAATCTACCCCATCCCAATCCCCCCCACAACCAACTCCCCCCATCCCCCATATACAACAACTCCCACTCCCAACCACCACAAAATTCCTTCCCATTCAACCCCCCACATTTTTCCCACCCCCTCCCACCCAATTCCCCCCCCTCCCCTCCACCCCTCCCCCCTAACCCTCCCCTCACCAACCTTATCTCCTACTCTCTATCTCCTTTACCCCATCCTCTCTTTTATCTTTTCCCTCTTCTTTTACCCCCACATTTTTTCCCTCCATTTTCCCCTTTCTCCTTCCCTCCATCATCTTTTCTTCTATAAACACCCCCCCCCCTCCCTCCACCCACCCCCTCCCTCCACCATACCTCCCCCCAATCTAAACCCCCCATACCCCCCCTCTACCCTAATCCCCCTTATTTACCTCACCCAAACCCCCCATCCCCCCCCACATCTCATTTTCTCCCCTCACTCCCCAACCACCCCCATCCATCCCCCCACCATAATATATTAATACCCAATTAAAACCCTACCCTCAAAACTCCCTAAACACATAAACCCCCCCCTATCCCCCCCACACAACCCTCTACCCCCCCCCACATCCACTCTTTCATTCCCCCCATATACAACAATACCCATTTACCCCTTCCAAATCTTATCACCCCCTCCCCTATCATACCAACTCCCCCCCCTCACATCCCCCCAATTAATCCTATTTACCAACTAAGGTTAGAGCATAGATAGAAATAAACTCACCCTCCTTATACCATTTACGTCACCCCCACAGCTATCCCCAGAATGCCGACCTTCCTGCTCATAGGTGTCCGGGTCTCGATATGCTGATCATCAAAAGTAGAAGAATAAATCAGGGTTAGTCAACGGTGTATCAGAAAGATCTGGTTTGGCGTACAGACTGATTCAGCATCTGCCCATGCATGAGGTGCGGTGTCTGGCCCTCTTGGGAGGGGTAACAATGGTGGGGCCCCAGGACTCGCTCTAGTGCCCTAGAACCATATTTATGGACGGTTAATGTGGGCCCTAATCCCCAGAGTGTAGTGTGATTATCGGTAGCCATCGAGATGCAGAAAGATGGTGAAGATTTCTGTCCTGTAGTATCAATGCAACAGAATGGTGGAAAAACAACAAAACGCTGCGGCAGAATCCAACAAAGTCACGTGATGCCAGATACTGCTGTTTTCACACGCAGCTATGGCTCTTTAAACAAGCCGGGAGACCCCTCTGCCACAGGATCAAGAAGGTTTTGAAAAATTACCCAACAGGTTTCAGTCGATTCTCCTTTGTTTTTTGCAAACGTAATCGATGTTCATGCATCCCATCTCTCGTCACCAAAACTGAACAAAAGGCTTATTTGGGTCTGGGATTCCCAGAGGTTGGAGCCGATTGCAAAGCCAATTTTTTTTACGTCTGTCCAAAAGCCTGCTCTGCCTCTGGAGTGCCACACGAGGGGAGGGGCGCACACCAATGTTCGCCCCCACAGTTCATATCACGTATAGGCTAGTCTTCTCCGAGAAATTGGCGATAAAATGCTGCAATATGAGCACTATTCCCACAAATGAAAGAAGTTCCTTTTTGTTTGAGGGTCTTCGGAGCCATCAACTTATTGCGTCACCGCTTTTTGTGACAAGGTTGTTTTACTTCAGGGGGTTATAATGTGACCCAAAAAACACAACATTTTGTTTTGACCAAATTGCACTTTGAAACAAGAAGCTTGTGCCCTCCTCAGCCAAATGTTGGAGAAGCTTACTTGTGTCCTCTTCACATTGTTCTTTTGTGGGGCTTAGCAATCATCATCTCATCCACAAATTACTCAAAACAGATCCCGTCTGTCAACACCAAAGAGACGCTTAGACTGTGTTTCAGAGCCTCACAAAACAACACGAGGGGCTCTGAGTTTAGGCATGACAAAGTCTGGTAAAAGGTATATCTGTTGTTCCTCTTAACAGAAGGCAAAACCTAAATTGTGAAAATCCCTGTCCACAAGTACAGAAAAGAAAGCCTTTGTCAGGTCACTACAGCGACAACCCACTCTGCATCTGTGGATTCTGAGTCAAACGCGTGTGTGGATTCAGGCACAATTTGGGAACAGGAGAGATGATCGCAGCGTTCACAGCCTTTAAGCTCTTGCACAAAACGCACTTGAGGTTTATTCATGCTGGTCTAATTTTCTTTACGGAAAATGTGTCTTGCCTCGGGTGAGGCCTCACATGGGACAATACTGCCAGCCTCAAGGAAATGATTCAAAAACAGTGTGTAATTCCTTCTATGCCTCCTGTCTCATAAGGATACCTGACGCTGCCCTCGGTCTATAATCCAGATTTAGCTTCCAAATACGAACAGAGTGGACAGTTTTGATTCAAACCTACATCATGTTTACTTTTGCCCCCACAGGAGCTCGTCCCAGGTACTTGCGATGATACAAAGATGAAATCTCAAGCGGAGAAGTCAAAGAATGTCAGAGTCAAATTTGGTCCGTCATTGTTATCATCTATGAGACGTCAAAAGCAGCTGAATTTTAGAATCAACTGTCTTCGTAAGAGACATTTATACGCGCAAACGGAATTGTGATTTAAACACATTTTCTACCACGGGCACACGCCCCCAGTCTCCTGCCTAAAGTACATCTGCGCTTTACAAAAAGGCCCTAGGTTTTGCCATGTGTCAGTCTTTGTTTTGCTATTGAAATATGAGGACTTGGAATTTTACCAGTCGATAGCATTGTTTTTGTGACTGGCTTAACTCTACTGAATACAGCACACTTGGGGACTCATCAAAAGTACACGTCAGCAAGAATTAAGCCCAGTCATTTGAGCCAGTTTTTACACGTTTCTTCAAATTCACAATCAGGGCCATGGATGTAAATGACACACACAATGCAAGTCCTCAGCTTTCAATATATCAGATTTTGGATTCAAGAAATGGAGAACACCCCCCATTAAATGACTCGCGTGGCCAGTATGAAAACCACCACTTGATATACTGACATAGGAAATTTGGTGTTTACTTTGACAAAAAATTAGTTGCGCAACGCACCTCTGTCTATTTTAAGGCCTTCTGCTGTCCGAAGTGCTCACAACTCTCCCATTTTTCATTAACATCACGGTCCCTAACAAGTTTACAGGACATAGGTCAGACATCAAAAAATGACATGTTTTGCTGTTTGCTGGGTTTACGCGCGTTTTGCCTAGTGCATTGATCGGAACAGAAAAAGCTTCCCGCTGGTACCGTTTGTCCACTCGCACTTGTGGAAAAAAACACTTCTGCCACTTAATTTGATTGAGAGATCCTTTGTCCGATTTCACATGTGGGGTGCACCAGAGTCTCCTAAAAAAGTGATCGGGGTTACCCTCATTTCACCAACGTATTTGGGCATTTTTCTGTAAGCTTCCATTTTCATAAGTAAGTAGGTCCCTGTGTTGGGCCTCTGGTACCGCTCTCTATATCCTTCCTTAATTCTATCCTCAATTAGCCATGCAGTGAATCAGTGGCACAAGGCGCGGTCTTCATTGCAGTTAGCCAGTTAGTGTTCGTGTTGTGTGTAAGATGTGTGTGCCCTTACCCATCTGGTACAGGTTGCTGTGTCAGATCCCCACGTCAACCAGACATCAATCTGGAAGAAAATATCTCTGCTCGGTCCTTTCCGGTCCGCACCCCGCCGTCCTACTTTCCAGCGTCCCGCGGCATCTCGGCGTTGGCTGGGGACAGTCACGCTTCCAATGTCCAATTTCACACAGTTGAAAACATTTGCCTTGGTCGTCATGGACACGATCGTTCTCGAAATGTCCGTTGCCTCGTCTTCTCCGTCACTACTCACGACCTCCACGACGACAGAATTTGCTGCCCGTCATTTTGATTCAATGTGAGAGATTGGACCTTGATGCTGTGCCGTCTCCTGCGCCGCCGTTTTTACAGCGTTCTCCTCAGTGTTCTTTATTACAGCATGCTTTGCGTGTCTGAGGATTTCCAGGTGTAAAGTCTTTCCAATCTCTGTGTCCATGCCTTTGTCCATTTGTCCAGTGTAACTTTAATTAGATCATGCGTGCAAGAGTGGATGAAGCCGCTGCGCTTCTGGTTCAGGTGCCGGCCTCTCTGTGACTTGCTCATCCAGGAGGGGAGGGGCGGGGGCAGATGCGGAGGCTCCTGCTGCGGGGATGAAGCTGCCCAGGGGAGGGGCTGATGCAGACGCCTCTGGAGCTGTTTAGAGAGGAGCAGCGGAAAGGGAGGGCAGTGACGCTGTGCTTGATGCTGTTGCTGGTGTGCAGGTGCGTGCTGCTGCTTGATACCGGGGGGGTGATGGGAGAGCGGAGTACCAGCGTTGGGTCCCATCATCTACGGTCGTAATTGCGTGGGATCGGTGGTATGCTCGGAAAAAAAGCAGATGGAGAAGTATCAGTCGCAGATCCTATACATTCTTCTGTCTTTCCCTTAGCTTTGCTCCGTCCATCCACGCATTCAGACCACCGTCGGTTCTCATCCCATGACAATTCAAACTTTCACACGTTACCAGACCTGCCTTTTTTTAACACAGTTTCTCGAGAGCATCCAATGGCGATTTAATCTTTTCAAGTGGATTCAAGCTGAAGGAGCCATTTTTGGGAAAACCTAATTCAGCCACCCACATTTCAGTGCATGCCCTTAAAATCATCACCATGTTTCTTACTCATAAAAGTCATGCCATGGGGGTCCCAAACTGGTGGACTCTGTGCCTTTTCTTTCTAAAGCCACATGGTGGATCTGAGACTTCAAACTCAGATCTAGTATCAACTGAGGTCTCGAACCCAGGACTAAGACTAAACTTAGATTTTTTACAGGCCTCGAACTCGTTTTCACAACGAGGAGGACTCGAAACCCCTCCGACTAAGGACTAAACTTAGATTTTTTCGACCGGACTTAACCGTGCTGTCACAACCAAGGGACTTGAACCCTCCGACTAAGACTTGAACCTTAGATTTTTTAGACAGGACTCTAACCGTTCCTTCACAGAGGACTCGTAACTCCGACTAGAGTAAAACTTAGGATTTAGATCTCGGCCTCTTACGTCTTCACAACGAAGGACTCTAACTGCCCGACTAAGAAATAAACTCCTAGATTTTCTGACAGGATCTTCAACCTGTTTTCACAACGGAGGACTCTAACCTATATCCCGACTAAGAATAAACCTTAGATTTTTCTCCCAACAGCCTGGATTCGAATGAGCAGCACCGTTCACCAGCTGGCAGCCAAAACATGCACTGCACCTCACACGTGCCTCTCGGTATTCACCACTGAAGCATAGGAAAGTCCAAATATTAACAAGTTACCGTTTGTTTTCGTCGTGATGAAAATCCCTAGAGGCGACGTTGGAAACTCAGTCGTCTCCGAGTCAGTCCGCCCGTCCAGAGATATGGGTAAAGCGACGAGATTGGTTTTGAATCCCAGGGCGATCAGTCCCCGAAAATCCGGACCCCTGCGTTTCAACGGTCCAAGCCTTCGAGA